CCATATATATTTACTATTGATTTATTATGAGTCATGCTATGTTTAGAACACTCACATGCTTAAATCAAGAAATAAGTAAAGACTCTTTATAAAAACAATCTTTTGAGTGTAGTTTAAAAAGTTTGAACATGTTTCTATAACTTTACATTGATTTCATCAGAAAAACTGACGTCATGTTTCTGAGTTGATAACTGAGGCCTACATCAGAACTTGAACTCGCCTCTTTCTTGGTTCCTTGTTTGACGTGATGCAAGTTCTGGTTGGAGACGGGTCCGTGGGTCCCGGGCTGAGCCGCGGGTCTGGGAACCGATGAGGCCGTCAGGAGGGTGTTGTTGTTGTGGTGGTGGTCCGACAGGCGGATGTTCGGACAGGTTTTCGGAGGTTTCTGGTGATGCAGCAGCGGCTTCCTGCATCCTTTCTTTATCAGCAGCGCCTGTTTCAGCGCTTTGCCGCCCGGTACCGGGTGGTTATTTTCGGCATTGCCAATAATGTCTTCATCACCGTTTACAGGAGATCCGTCCAACATCTCTATGGAGTGATGAAAACATAAACAGGCTGTGAAAATCCTTTCCCGACAAAGTTGTTTTGGTCAACAACGTCACAAGCTAACAGTTAGCTACGCAGCTAACTTTCGATTTTCGACTTGTCCTGACGCAGAAAACCCTAAAAATAAAAGTCTTATCGTGTTCTGGAAGCTCCCGCCTCTAATCTACTGGGCTTTGAATTTCTACAACTGCTAAAACAGCCTGTTACAACTTAATACGAAACGGACGGAGCTTGTAGAACTTTTAAAGCTAGCTCCTACATTAAGCTAGCGCTAACTTCCGATAAACAAGTTTGTAACTTCCGATTTGACCCGTCAAAATAAAAGATTTTGTTAGCACTTGACATTTTCGCCACAAAACTAATAAGACATTTAGGTTTTAAAATGCAAATAACGAATCAGATTTTCTAGTAATTTTTTTCGTTTACATAAATTCTTTCAAATCCATTTGAAATTCTGGTATTTTTGTAAGTATTCTCCAACTGCTCTCAGTAGTTTTAG